AAAAAAAAAAAAAATCTGTGAACCACTTCAGAAGTCTTTTTTAGACTACATCAATGAAAATTTTTGACATTCCATGGTGGAAACAAATGTAAAGATGAAAAACATAGACAAAATGTGACAATCCTGCAAATCGGACAGTGTAAACTAGCGCTGATCAGAGGCAAGATTGCCCTAGTGGAAAATAAATGCCAAAGAAGTGACATATATTCTCGAATTTAACAAAGAGAATGAAATGCTAACTTCATGTATCCCAATCCTTAAACTAAACCACTAGTATCAATTACATACCAAAACACAACCCAGGGAGTCAAACCATCTTATTATATCAAAATCCAAAAAAGGCATCGTTCATTATGTGCAGAGTTCTTGAAATCCCTACATATGTGTATAAGCACTGTTGGAAAATGAGCTCCAAAACCTCGTAAAGTAAAGCCCAAAAAAGAAAAAAAAAATCCAAAGATGAGTGTACCATAAAACGCTCACGAATCTTCACTAATGGGTACCAGTAAGCAGTAGAAAGGAACCATTAAAATGCTTTGTCTTGTCATTAGTACAGATTACGTGTAAATATGCATATAATTTACCATTTCATCTCAAAAGCAGCAACTGAATGTAAGTGCTCAATCCTTACCAAAATGATAAACAGAAGTCCACCGTAATTTCCCATTAACACACCTCTTCAGGTCCAAATTCAAGCAACATATACAGGAAAAAGGAACACAAGACGAGAAAACAGAAATAATCGACTATATAAATTATAACCTCCGCAAGAAAAACAATACCTGGGTCCGATTTATATCCATGACAAGCTGAGACCGGTTCCGAGAGCTCTTCAATAAGACTCAATACTCGGGTCTAAAGAAGAAAATGAGCGCTAAGTGCAGCCGACTGAGATGATGAGATAAAGAGAGATCCTATTATCCAAATTCGGCGCTATCATAAAACAATGAAAAGTAGCCATCTTTAGGAAACAACGAATACTAGTCATTAAAGCATGTAAAAAATCATCATTTTAACCTTATATTTCACCCTTCCAAAATCTCACCCTCACTCAAATCCTCATTTTATTTTTTCACATGACAAATGTTAAATATTTTCGCCCAGCTTCGCCGTTTGCAATATCGAAAACGAAAAAATATTTTACTAGCCTGCTGATACTCTCTAAATTAGCCAGAAATTATTTTTTTTCTTTTTACAAACTTCAATTCAACCATAATCAAAACTTAATTCAGTATCTCACCATGGATTTCGACCAAGAAACTCATTATTATTATGAAAAAAAAAAAGAAGATAAAAAACCCTAATCAAACCCTATAAAATTTTCAGCTTGAGGAACCGCATTTTGAGGGTCGACCTGCTCGAGTTGGGAAGCCGACGTCGAGCAGTATTGACGGCGGCAGAGGTTTATTCGCCGGAGGAGAGGAGCAGCAGAGGTCGCCTTGCCGGAGGAGAGGAACAGCGGCGCGTCAATTGCCGGCTAATTTTCTGAAGCGTGGCGGAGGTCGCTCTGAGTAGACGAGCGAACAGATGGGAGCCGCTCTCTTCTCTCTCTGTTTTTACTGAAGCATGGCGGACGTCGAGTTCCTCATCCCACTCTGGTTTGCTGAAGAAGGAGGAGACTGAAAAAAGTGAAATCTGCCCTGCTTTGCTAATTTGGGGGAGAAGTAAAAAAGTTGAGTATAAAGGGTCAAATGGTATTTTTATAAGGTAAAATGGCTATATTTCATTCTACTTTTTTTCCTTTTTAAAAAGGATAGATTGTGGTGGTGGTACCTGTGTGCACTGTATACCTCTGATGTTGCCGAAGGCAGAATACAGTTATCCACGTACATATTATGGTGGGTTTGGCGATCTTCGAATTTGTGGCTCTTTGAAAAGGTGTGGATGCCAGAAGAGGTAGTAGTGCCTGGGGCTTGGAGGAAATGGCAAGAGTTTGCCAATTTGCAGAGATAGTTGGTGTGTTTGCTGCCTTTTGTCTTTTTTATGCCAGATCTTTAGAGCTTTAGTTTGTGATAGGAGTCTCGAGTCTTTATGTCATGTTTTTGTTGTTAGAGTGTTGTTTGTTTGGTTCATTTGTTAGTTGGTTTGGACTGGGAAAGTCTTTTGTCTTCGCTTTTTCTTGTATTGTGGCTTTTGTCTCTAGATCACTCGTTGAGCGAGTCTCCCATGATCTTTGTATGTTGGTTCGAACTTTGTTCGGGTTTTATAGTTATTAATGAATTCTATCGTTTGAAAAAAAGGGCTAGATTGTGGTATTACCACTTTGATTTTCTGTTCGTATTTATGTATAAATGAATTTTGGCAAAAGTGAATTAGTACGACATCCGTGCAGTGTGCGGGTGTATGAAAAAATAATTTGAACAAGAAAGTAAAAGAGTTCAGTTGTTGTAAACATATAAAAAAATAAATAAATGTAGTTGTAAAACAACTATAAATTGTTTTTCAATTGTTACTGTTTGTATTCAGTGTTAGTTGTTTGTATTAAGCTGGTGGCTATCCTTTTTGCACATCTGTGCGCTCGAAAAAAAAAAACTACGTAAATTAGTCTTTTATTTCAAATTTTCAAAAATTTCACAATATTAATAGTTCTCTTCCATGTTTTAAATACCGGTTCGTACCGGCCGGTATTACCGGTAATACCGGATACCGGTGGTCCGACCGGTACATTTACACTCAAAATACCGTTTTGGCCAAAATACCGGTTTCGTACAGGAAAATACCGGTAAAATCGGTAAATACCGGCCAAAATACCGGTCAAAATACCGGTTTATGACATTTTTTTTTAAAAAAATATTTTAATAGATTTTTATTATTTTATTTGTATAAATTGAAATTTCTACACTTAACTTTAATATGTTTATATTGTTATTAGATGTTAATTTATTTTAATATTAATTAAAGTTAATTTTGTATATTATTTATATAATAATAACAAATTAATTTAATATTTATTAAAACCGGTAAAATAGACGGTAATACCGGTCGTACCGGTAATACCGCATACCGGTCGCTACACCGGTATGACGACCGGTACGGTTTTTAAAACATTGGTTCTCTTTTACAATTTTCTCATCCTTATTTCAGCACAAAAATTTCAAGCCATCTATGTTTTAAACGCTAGAAACGGAAACATAAAGTTTTCCATGGTTGAAAATAGGTTTTGGTAGATACATACTACCACTAGATAATGCTAATTCGAGAAATGATACATGTCCATCCACAACACAGATCTCCATAGTTTGGTGCATTTCGTGCTAGTTTAGAATTTGCTTAAACCATACTCGTAAACAACGGACACAACTTCGCCATATTTTTTTTTCCTGCAGTAATTTCAGCAATAGAGTC